CTTTTTTTTATATATATTTTGGGGATATATATATATATATATATATATATATATATATATATATATATATATATATATATATATATATATATATATATATATATATATATATATATATATACTACTACTACTACTACTACTATTATTGATCCTCACCAAATACTATAAATTAACTATTATGTTAATTTTTAATTTATATTGATGATATAGCTAATATTTTTGATTAATCAGTAATTCTAATTAGAAATCTCACTTAAGTATTAGAGAGATCTTGTTAGGCATTCTTTCGATTTCGAAAAATCGGAAAATGAAGTTCGTGGCTTAGATTACAATTCTAAAAAAATTAGATATATTTTTATATATTTATAAATTTCTTTAGTTTAAATAAACTAATGCTAATGGTGGTTAAAAATGATTGACTTGAATTTTGTGAAAGATCTTAACATTTGGAGAGACATGTAACATATTAAAATGTATATGCAACTTATTAATGTAAAATAAAATCATTAAAATGTCTGAAAAGTAGTATACTTTATTTTAGTTGACTTTGTTTCTTCTCTATTTTAGCGTCTGGAAAGCAGTAATAATAATTGCATATTACTTATTTGTTGAAAGTTTGAACTAAATAAAAAAATTAGAAATCAGATTAGTCAAGTTTATGTTTCTGCCATCAAACCATAAGAAGATTTTATTGAAAGGTGTCAATTAAATTGATAGTTCTGAGTCCAAATTCCATCTTAGGAATTTATTCTTTGAAAAAGAAATACTGATATACTAAAAAAATATTTAAATACTTTTGATTTAATTAAAAATATTAAAGATCGAAAGAAGGTCAAGTTGTTGGCCTTACATATTGTTCTGATCAATAATCCAAGAACAATCTCTTTGGATATCATCACTGCAGATCAGCAGACAAAGGCAGAAGAATAGTCTCACATTCCAGTAACGAGACAAATTGAGAAAGCAAAAGAGGAAGCTGCAATTCTTGCAAAAGAAGCATTTTATGAACATTAATGTAGTCACATTTAGAATATGACATCTTCATGTACAGATACTGACAGTTTGTTTGTAAGCAAGATTGCTGCATTTTAACATGAGAACCAAATTAGTACATTGACTACAGAAGAGTGAACAAGCTTCTACAACTGCAACTAGTATCAGAACGAAGAACCAGAAGAACCAAAATGTCCAGATGCTTAAATGGGAGGGTTGAGGTCTTCTATTTCTGTGATCTTTTAGCCTTTGAGTTCGGGCTTGCCGATTCCTTGAAAGCAGACGGGCAGAGTTGGTTTATGCCACAGCTGCCGCACTGGGGCCTGAGGGGAGTGCACACTGTCTGTCCGAATCCAACCTGATCGAAGACACATTGGAGAATCCACAAATCAGTACAACTAGAGGTCGAAGAAAAGAGAAAGCCTTATTGTTACAGCCACATGCATTTCATAAACAAAACATAAGTTACAGAAAACTGCTACCTCAATAATTAACTGCACATAAATTGAAAGTTCCTCTTAGGTACAAAGTAATAAAAAAGAGGCCAAGATCTTAATGAAAAATGGATTCTACTCGGCCATGGTTAGCTATCTTCAGTTACCACTTGAGCCACAGCTGGTAAACATGCATGGAAGCACTTTGCACATACCACAAATGCCAAAATGTATACTTCCAAGTCAGTGATCCTAGGTGGATACATGCATCCAGGCTGTTTGGGTTATCAGTACAGGACAGTATTTTTCTAGACATATATGGCCATTCTCATATTTAGAGGAAACCCAATCGAAATATAATCTACTTGTTATAATATTTAGAGTAGTTACAATAAATCATTTACTAAATAAAATCTACTTGTTGCTACAGAAAACCTTCTCATATTTAGAGGAAAGCCAATCAAAATATATCGTACCAGTTGAGGTAGAATGCCTCTAAAATAAAGGGAAAACAAAAAAATTGAAAGTGATTATTTACAGTAGCCATATTTAGAAAGGAGCATCAATAAAGGTATTAATAAACCAGTGCTAAAAATCTTGTCAAAATCAGTAAATCTTAGATGACAAAGCCAATAAGCAACGGTTAGACCATATTGGCAACATAACTCTCCCAACCCTGTTCGTCATACTTCAGTGTGATTAGGTTTCCTCTCTTAATTTGTGTAAGATCAAAATTATCAATGCGGTAGAAAGCTTGCCAGACAAGGTGGCAGCAAATATGAAATTAAAATTGTTGCAAAAATAGTTTAGTATGAGAAATCGATTTGATTAAAATTCATCAAATATTGGCCTTTTCAGCTCTATGCTTAGGCAAGGGAAAGATTGCCATTTTCAGAAAGCAACACGTAGATAGAAATTGTGATAATAAATTTCACGAAGGAAACTATAAGCGTTTAGCTAAGAAAGAACAGGCAGAAGATCATCTTAATCAGATTAAGCAAGCATGGCCTTTAGGGGGCACATTTTAATTTCATCCTTCTTCAGTACTGCAGTTTGCTACAGACTTCAGACTTTCAGCCCCTCGTTTGCTCTCCTTGTAGGTAATCAGGTAAATGTATCTTAACTTTGCCCTTGAATCAAAGTTTGAAGATTTCTTCTGATGTAGAACCTACTCTATTTCTCAATCTTTGAACGAGCAAGAGGGCTTTGAACTATGGGTATCTAAAAGCATCCAAATTGAATATCAATCCCAAAAAAACACACATAGAAATAACTAGCAACACCGTAGAACACATAAACAATACATGGTTCAGCATCCATCTTACATGTTGATAAAAATATATAGCAAAGTCATATAACTTCTGTTCATGTTACAATAGATAGAGTAACACATTAAATAGAAAGAATTTATGAACTATATTCATCATACCAGCAGGGGATTGATTGGATCCCATAAATCCTTTGGTAGCCATGTCTCCAAAGATACTCTTGTTTCTTCTGGAGTCGAGGTTTTCTAGTGAACAACAATGTAGGTATATGTCTTAGCTTTCTAGATTCTGAAAACGGACGAGATTACATATCATTTCAAATGCAGTAAAATTACCTGTCTTGTGCCAGGACGTGAAACCCATCCTAGTCGGTTACAAATTCGATGGACATGAGTATCAACACATATCCCTTGAACATTATTCCATCCGACATTCATAACCTATTTATTCAAAGCAAAAATAAGAGAATATAAAGCAATAGTCTCGACTTTGAAAGTAAGAATGAACTGTACCAAGTGGGCCATTTTAGGGCCTACTCCAGGAAGTGCAAGCAATTCATTTAAAGAATTTGGGATATCTCCTTGATACTTTTCAAGACAAATTTCAGCAACTTTTTTCAGGTAATGGGCTTTCCGTGAATAAAATCCAACCTAAATGAAAAGACAGAATGTCACTCCATTACTTTCTCTCAAGTAAGAATAAGATAAATAAGCAATCAGGATGAGAATAAAAATGATGTAAGAATGTCACTCCATGTCTTTTAAAAAATACTAGTAAGTTTCTCATAACGAATAAAAATGATGTAAGAATGTCATTGATGAAAGAGAACTGTTTCTAGCCATGACCAAGTAACTTAGACGAAAAAAGGAAAAGAAGATCTCGAATGGACATTCATAATGTTTATCTAATAGCAGTTGATCGGAGTTGAACAAGAGAAATGGCCTGAACAGAAACTTAGTCAGAATATGTTAAAGATATACTGGATAAATCACGCCTGCAATAGTAGCTTCATCACTTTTGACAATAGCATCTGCATCCAGTAAACCCTTATCCGAAAGACGCTTTATGGCACCTGAACTCCTAGTTCAATTACCAAGTAAAACAGACATCATATTCTGTGAAAATGCATCAAATTGAAGAACATAAATATGTTCCTGGATTTTCTAAGTTGACTCCAATAGTGGATCCAGATGAAGAAGAGATGACAAGAACTTACCATTTGTGACTGCATCTTTAGTTTGGCTCGACAGAAGGGAAGACACCAAAACTGCAAATCTTCGTTCCTGATTACAGGTCAAAAGAGCTTAAGTTGTCCAACATAATCAAACCTATTTGATGACTTTAAATGAGTATATGACCACAGAAAAACAATAGACAATAAGACAAAATCTTATCTTTATTTTGGATACACGGCATTTAATCCAGATGTAAGTACAAGAAATTTAAAAGAAAAATCTTAACACCAAATTATATGGGTTGGGTACACGAATCCTTTTGACCCATTTATTTAAGACTGGTTAATGTTCGTATTTGATTTTTCCTACAGCATCTTTTAAACCTATGCAAAGACTACAAAAAAAAAGAAACTCGGAAGAATATCAAGGATAAAAAAGGAACAAAAAAGGATGGTAACAGAGAAGGGACACCACTGCATTTTTGTTAAAATTCACTAAAAAATGGGAGGTATGACATATTTCCCTTCATCTTTTAAGCATTTAAATCTTCATTATAGTTTCTAATAAAGTTTTCTTAAATCTTTCTTTGTCTCTCCTTAGACCACTAATACCAATTGTGTTTCATCTAACTATAGCATCTACATATATCCCTAGTACATATCCATATCATCTTAAATAATTCTAACTCATTTTATTCTCTATCAAGGCTATACTGGTTCACAAATGAAAATATTTCTTTTTTTATCTTTTCTAGTATCTCTACACATCCACCTTAATATTCTTATATCAATAACACAAACTTTTTATATAATTATTTCCTAACCATCCAGCATCTCAATTCCATAAAACATACCCAGAAAGTACACAAAACTCCTAACGTCCCTCTCCATTTTGGCCATATAGTCTATATTCTATGTTCAATATCTCCGTTAATCTCTTCATCTAGTCAAATAATGGACTCAAGGTATATAAAAGTTTTACTTATTACATCTTATATTCAGTCTTAGTCATGCTTAATTTAAAACACTTAGTTCACAAGGCCTATATCTATAACTCAAGATTACAACCACTATAGGTGGATGCATCCATCATAGTTTTTCTCATAGAGACCTCACTAAAAGCATGGATGAGATGCAAGTGATGATAAAGGCAAGCTTTTCATTCAGAAAAGCTCCATGACAAAATCATTTTTTGATAACACAAGACATTCACATTTCTACTTAAAATGTTAAAACTGAGTAAGACTACAAAAAGAGAATTAAAGATAAGAGAGAGGTAGCAAGAAAGGGTGCAAGAGGGAGAAGGGGAGAGAAAGCAAAGATATAACACAGCAGAGGTGCAAAATTTAGTGATGAATAATGTAAAATAGATTGACTAAAAATATTTTTTACCATGCAGGGTAAATAAAGACCAGCTGATACAATAAGTTCCATTTTTCAAATTAAAAAGAGTGAAGAGTTTTACCAGTAAACTCTAAGACAAGTTTAGATACCTTAGGTGGTAAAGAAAGCCCTGCCTTTTCACATCCCATAGTGTCGACAGGAGCATCCTCAGCCAACCTCATCTTCCTAATCCCATCAAAGACAGCTTCCCAATTTGCTGGCAGGTTAGCTGCAGTAATATTAAAATTTAATTTTCACCACATCATAGAATTATGATAAAATTTAATTAAAACCCCCCATTCTCCTGACTTTGCTAACATCTTATTCTGATCGAATATATAATTAGAAAAAGAAACACTAATTCTTCTTATCAGTACTAATAGGAAAAACATGATGCTTCTTCACATTTTGTACCCTACTTCTTATGCCTTTGTCTAGTACCTTTAGATTTTATGGACAGGTGAGTACTCTTTGTCTTATGAGTGGGGAAAGATGCACTAATATTTATACCATCTGCGGGAAACATCAAATTGAAACATGATTAGTAGATAAATGTGGTAGCATCAATTTAGGTTTAGGTACAATAAGAGCAACGTGAATGCAAGCATATGACCAATTCATCAAAGAAATAATGTGTCATGCTTCTAACACTAAACAAAAAATTTTAAAGAAACTTTGAACTGTCCTCTGCTCTTTTCTTTTCCTTTTTTTTTTTCTCATACAGGAACACCAATAGCATTTATCACTTATATCAAATGGCCAAGCTACCTATTGTTAAAATGACATATGCTACACGGAAAGGAACTATATAAATAAAATTTAGATAACAGAGTTGCTCTTACTAGAAGTTGCAGATAGATTGATCTTATGATACGCAAAATCTTCAATGTCAATCGGGCCACTAACCTGCAAGTAAAGTTGGTCCACTAAGATTAGTCAAGTGCTGGAGACGTGGAAAAAGAAGCAAATTAGAGACAAATTCTGGATTGGGAAAAAAAAAAAACAGATGAAACTTTGGAGAAGCTAAGTAGGAAAAATAGTGACTATGAAGCTGATACCTAAAGAGAGAACTAATGCTCTTCTTATTACAAGAATACAAAGCTAACGAAAACAACCTGATAAAATTACGTCCAGATATGTTAGAAAAAATAAGACAAAACTTCGTTTGAAGACAAACACCTACTTTTTTGTCAGCAGATTCTTCTTTTGCAGTCTCCCCATCGACTTCAATGATTCTTTTCGCCCTCTTCTTCCTCCCGTAAAAACGTTTCTCTCCATCAGACACATCACAACCTGGAGAAAGAACATGAAACTTCTGTCATCGTTCTCGCCTTAAACAAATAAACGATTTGATTTAACAAAAGTCCAGTATTTCTGAGACACGCATTAGTTGAAAAATGTCACCTTTGTCCGGCTCTAAATGCTGAAAATCGAGGTTTGGATCGAACTCCGAGCTGGGGCTTTCGGCCTCCGACGAGAGGGATCGGGAGGAGCGCCGGGTAACGGACATCCTTAGGGTTTTGGCGTGGGAAGAGAGCGGAAGCAAGGAGATCCTTGCAGAGAGGGCTTGCGCGAGGAGCGAAGGAGGCATTTGGGAATTTGTGGGACCGATGCGATCTAAGGAATAAAAAGACTGGCACGTTAAATATTACTCATTCTGATGACGTGACTTCAGAATTGGGCCAGGTTCGAGTTGGTGCTTCGTTTTTCCAGTCCAGTTATGAGGCAGGTAGAACAGTGAGTATATACTTATGGGATGCGAATATTATCAATATATAGGCACTTTTCCAGAAAACACCCTATACAATTTTTATTTGTTTCGCATTTGGTCTTCACATATTAAAGAGGACGGCGTAGGAGCAGAACACCAAAAGCCCTCGATTTGGAACCCCCCAATATCCGCTTCTCGTGATGGGGAGATTTCGTCGACCTCGTCTCCTTGATGCTCTGCACCAAACCCTTTGGAAACCCCTACAACCATCAATGTTCCGCCGTTGATCTCCGAAATCTGGTTAGTCTCCTAAGATCCTCTTAGGTGTTGATCTTCTATCGATTGATGCAGTCCGATTCAATGTCTGTTGATGGTTCACAAAGTAGGTGCTGAAAAACAGAATCTTCAGTACATGTTGCCTTTGAAATGTAGATTGTGCTGACCCATTAGGAACTTGGATCTTCCGCCGGACGTTCTTTCTCCTGGAATCGAGTTCCCCAATCCTCTCCATTGAAAGATCTATAGTCAAAGAGGACCGATATACAAACTGTTCTTTCCCCCTTGATTCTCTGTATGCACTTGCTTCTAGTTTTATGACTGTCAATAATATGGAACTTGGAGGAAAGCAACAATATATATATATATATATATATATATATATATATATATATATATATATATATATATATATATATATATATATATACTATAGACATCGGCTAGATAAGTGATAAATAAGGCAGCTGCATAGATCATAATTCATTTCTGGGATAAGGGCACTTTGAAATTGATTGCAACAAGAAAAGGAATATTGGGAAAAGAGAATGAGAGGATACTTAGCCAAGTGAATGGCATCTTCTTCTTGTGGTTATTTTAGATGTTTGAATATGGACAGAACTCAGCTTATATCCGTGTCAAAGCAGTTTCTGCAACCGCAAGCAGAAATACAGGTAAATGATACTTATATGTTTACATATAATTGCATCATGTCTAATTCCACTTGGACATGACAGCAGGTTTGCATATGGATTTTGTCTCTCATTTTTAGTACCAATTGGTGAATCTTCCATAGAACCTAGCATATGAGATGTAGTTCTTCTTTGAAGCTATTTTTTTCATTCATTAAGAATGAAAGAGCAGCCTTAATTCCCTGTACTAGTTGAAATCTTTGAATCTTAGGATGTCCATCTATGTGGGCCAAATAACTACACTCTGACCGGAGAGAAGCCAAGTTGATAACTAGTTATCGAGGACCAATACATTAGGTTGGACAAGGTTTCATGGATGTAGCCAAGGGAATAAACTTCTAGGTACGCATCTGCTTGTTGGATTACACCACTGTAGATGAAGAGGCTATGTTAAGAAGAAAAGGAAAATGTTTTTACAGGACAAGGCTCCAACTTCTTTTGTTCACTAACCTTCCAAAAGCAGTACCAAGAATTTTAGGATCTTTGGTTTGTGCATCTGGTTCAGAAGGGTGGTTCGTAAAAACAAATGGGTAAGACTTCAAGACCTACATGCATTTTTATGTTATGATGTAAGGAATAATGATAAAGACTGGGTGTTGGAAAATTTAGATATTGCGATTTCATTTTTCACAGTTTGTCTCTCTCACTCTGACTTGAACAAGACTAAAGATAATGCCTCCTAGTATATGGTATGTATTCATCAAACGTGTGATCATTTAGGCAGTTTTCTCAGTGTAGTTACACACTTCAATTGTTATAGACACAATTTCTTACAGACTAGGTGTATCATAAAGTTATGGCTGCAGTGGTATGGTTAGAGATTTATAAGGTGGACAATCTACAGGTTGCATTGCCTAAAACTATAAACTTAATGTAGACGCCATGTATCTTCTTGATATTTTGTTGTGATCTGTAGGAAATAAACTAAGAAAGAAATAACTTGAAGATTATTACAGGTTATTTTTGTTTTCTTTATCATGACAATATTTGCTTCTAAAGAAAATACCATTTACACTGAAGACTAACATTCAAACCAAAAACAAGTAATTGGTATGTGATTGCCCTTATCATGAATTGTGACTCTAAATGAAACTGATTGCCTATATATTATATAATGGCCTTTTGTTTGTTGGATCTAGAGTATTTGGCTGACAGATTCTTTGTCTATGAGACTGGCCAACTTCAGGATAATTGTACTGAGAGATGTTTTAAAGTACTTAACAGTTTCAAAGTGTCTTCTAAACCTTATAAAAAGTATTCTAAATTCTCTTCAATTGTGTACTTAAATGTGGCTTAACGTAAATTTTCAGGTAATTTTATCTGCTTTAAGAAATAAATTCTCTCCCTGGACAAACATAGAACATTATGGAAGGATGATGCTCGGGCCAAGCCATTAGCAAATATTGCTGTTCTCATATATTTGTGTGTTTTTTGTTGCCTATTCAATACCTGCTCACTGATATTCTTCTGCACTGGGACCAGAAGTTTGTTATCGCAACTCTCAAGGAAGCTCTATTGAGTGCTAAAGGACATCAAATATCTATAAACCAAGAGAGCTTGTTTTAGCCAAATGCATCCTTCAGATATGTATACAGTTTAGCATCCATATATTAACTTTAACAGTCTACAATGAACTAGCAAATCATCCACTTCGCAGCCTTTTTTTGTACATTGCTTCTGCTATTACCTTATCATATGCATTTATTTACTTGGAAGTGACTTTGTTTTTGTGCTCACTTGCTGTTAATAAATACAGTATGTAGCTCTTTCAACTTTTTACTGTATGCTTCCTTTGAAAGGATTTATGAGAAACGTATACAATGGAAAATTGATTGTTATTAATGCCAACTTGTTTTGATTTGTCAGGATCCATAAGCATGCGTATACACCAAACGAGAGGCTTTGCTTAATCCTTCAGGAACAGGAAACTGCAAAAACCAAAGAATAAGGAACTGTACTCGAATCTAATTTCATAATGTAGGTATGACTTTGTTATTACATGGTTGTCAAAAGTATTCTCTTATCAAGCATTAAAGCCAATTCACTCAAACTGCAGGACATTCTGGATTAAAGCGTGCAGCAAAATGTAGGCAGTAAGAGCAATGGCACATGGTATAATTGTCAGCTCTCCAGCATTGTTGCCAGTGTCGAAGCATGCAGGAAGAGCAATGTGGCTATACCAGGAAGTATTCGACTGAGGCAAGGAATGTGGATGTATACCAAAATGTGAGTAGGCAAGCATTGATTTGCTGGTTGCATTATATCAAGTGCACAAATTCAACATTACTGTAATCTTCTCTGCATTCATTACTACTTTGTATGTGAGGCCATAAAATGTCTGTCTCACGCAGTTCATGCATTTGATCGATTTCGATCCATTTGCAATGGGAAAAATAGTTTAGGCATGCTCATCATGCATTATGAGTAGTTACAATGTTACTGAACAATTCACTACTAAATTAAACATGTTGAATTGAAGATGAATAACCAGGTGTATTCTTGCTACTTCAAGAACATGGTATACATTCAGTGCAAGGTTACGTCCCTTTGAGAGGGATGATATTGTATGATATTGTGACTGCAACATATATTATGCCATTAACATTCGATAAATCATGTTTTATAGAGGAAATATGGGATATATATATATATATATATATATATATATATATATATATATATATATATATATATAAGCAGCATTTGAATCACCAACCAAAAGGATTTAACAGTCTAAAAGGAGTAGTCAGGTTCGAGGCTTCTCCTGGCGCCCTTGAGCTTTGGCTTCTCCTTCTCCTTCTCCTTCTCTTCCGCCTCCTCCATGCCCGTCCCACCTCCTTCCTCTGCCTCGCTCTCCTCAAAAGCAGGGTGTGTCAGAATGCTGCGGAGAAGCTGAGTCCCCCTGAGGGCGTTGGTCAGCGGAAGGTGCCCCTCCGGTGTGTCGTCCTTGAGCTCCCACAGGAACTCGCCGGGGAAGGACCGGTACCCGTACTGCTCCACCTCCGTGTCCAGCCGCTTCATCCACCCCATCCGGATGAAGAAGCGCGTGAAGTCGCGGCCCGACTTCTCCCACAGCCGCCGCTGCACGCCATACCCGAAGCGGCCGCCGCTGTGCCGGCGCCACAGCTGGTCGATCTCCTGGAGGTCCGCAGCCGGTATGAACTGCACCTCCGAGAAGAACACGTACCCCCGCTTCTGCGCGGCCTCCCCGGCGAGCGCGATGAGGAGGCGGCGCGTCTCCTCGTCGGCCTGTCGGAAGTCGCTCGACGACAGGTGGCTGGCGAGGACGTCGAATGGCGTGGCCGCGGCAGCTGCGCCTGCGGTGGATGGTACCACACTACTGGCCGAGGTGGTGGTCAGGGAGGAGGAGGAGGAGGGGGAGAGGTTGAAGAACAGCTTGAAGGATTTGGTCGGCTTGAAGAAGATAGAGTCGGGAGAGGTGGTGAAGTGATGGTGGTGGAAGGATTGATGGAGGGATTGGAAGGAGGAAGTGGCCATTGGAGAGGTGGTGGTCAGGGAGGGGAGGAATGCCGGCAGGTGTGAGAGCGAGAATAAGTGTGGCATGGAAGAATGAGTGGACGATGGGGCACATCCAAGAGAAGTTGCAATGGAGAGTTGTGATTGGTTGGATATGGGTGACGGACGATTCCGTCCGAGATATGCGTCGGAGGCCGTGCAAGTTAATACATTGATGTGAACTCGACTTGATTTTGAAGTTTAATTTGACTAAGCTGGTGGCTCAACTCATCATTTCGTGACCAATTTGAGTCTTAATTTGAACCTAATTGTGTCAATTTCTAACCTAATTCTGTGTATCCAATTAAACCTATTTATTACAAGTCTAGTTTACTGCCCCCAAATTGGACATTCTAATCTTCGATTGGACTTCAATCAATGCCAGTTATTTCATCGGTTGCACCCTAAATTCCATCAAATTGGGACCTTCTATACCCCAAATCAACCTTCATCAAATACGAAGCTGTCGTCGCTATCGCCTTCGTAACCCAGAAGGCGGTTGGTTCTTCGGAGGAAGCAACAAAACCCTCAGCAGGGGAGTAGCGCACGAGACAGGAAGCGATGTTATCGTTGAGAGAAAGTTCGAGGTGAAGGTCCAGCTCGGATCCCTCGGGAGCGCTGCACATCCATCTGCCGCCGCCTCCACGAATCAGTATGATACCTTTGCGATTTGTTTTTTCTTTCTTCTTTGTTTGCTTGCTCGATTGATCCAGCTGCGAACAATACATGTGTGGGATCTTCGTGTTCTTTTCCGTTGCATTGATATTGAGCATTAGAGAAGGAAGAATTACAGGACCCAGAGATTGCAAAGCATAAGAACTTTCATTAGGTGTAGGAATCAGGAAAAAGGTTCCTTTTTTAAAGGATTGGACCTGCTCCAGCAGAAGGCAGACCTTATTTGGAGGATTGAACGACAAAGGATGAGGAAATTTTACCTATAAGTTAATCAATTGAAAACATTAGTTATTAGAGCATGTAGAACCAGATATAGTTGTAGCATGTGAGGTTAAGAGTATGTAATCTCAGTAAATCCTTAAAAGAGTTTCCTCAAATCTCAGTAAATCCTTAAAAGAGTTTCCTCAATATATTGGATCTGGATAGAGAAGAAGCATTCATTCAGTATGACAACTATGATAGGATCATTCTTTTGTTGGATTTCGATCCATATTTTAAAAGGGATATTTACATTAGTCATCACCAACAACCATGCAGTGGATTCATGGTCTTCAAGAATGATACCCAAGTCTCGGTGCCCAAGCATTCAGATAAGCTGAAGCGTGGAGAACAGAGCCAAAAGATGTGAAAAAGTAGCATTTACATTATATGTAGGAGTGACTGTGGTAAATCATCAAATTTGAAGTCAGAGCCTTTTCACAATTTGCCTGCTCTAAACTAAGCCTTCCTGCAAAGTCGATGGCATATTGATAGGAACAATAGTTTATCCACTAGCATAAAGCTGCTTCCTATAGAAAGTTTTGAATTGTTGATGTGAACTGTGTGTAAGAACACTGAATTTGACACTAAAAATTCAGTTTCACTGCCTTCATTTGAGAAACTCTATTTGGTTTCTTACTGATTCCAAGCTCATGACAGTACGGAAGCAATGAATGAGGGGGCACAGAAAAAGCTACATCGAGGACATTTGGTTTCTTACTGATAGATTTTTCTGAAGTTAAAAGAATCTTGATGGTCGATTAGCTTTTAGGATGAGTTTTAGGATCAATTTGCAACAGAACTTATTGGTCATTCTCATACTCTGTCTACTGGGAGTCTATCAAAGAAGAAAAAATGCACATCTATGAATGAATATATGCTGTTCAGGAGATAGTTTGACAAGCTAATACTGAAATTGCAAGAAGTCATCAAGTGTGTTATTGGCAATTCTAAGAGCGATAAGAACGTGCAAAGCAAGCTTAAATATAGTTGTTTATAGCAACTGATCATAAATCTATCCATATTTTCCATGGAAATGTAAATAGATTTAAGCATCTGTCTCTGTGTCCTCACCAAAACATAAGTTTAATATTTTAGGCAATGAAACATTAGGCTTTATCCAATATCAGGGACAGTGAAGTATTCCTCATCATCAGATATCTCAAGCCTAGGCTTCTTGAATGTTGTGCCATGTTTGTTAGCCCTGTGGAAACCTGTGTTGCTTGCTTGTGATGTAGGGAGTTCAGGAACTTGAGCTGCTGCTTGGGCACCCTTCGGCGTTTCATCATGGAAAAGACCAATGTCTGCAAACCATTCCAACTCTCCAAATCCAACAGGAGACTCCTGGAACAGGTTGGATCAGAGCATGACCATCTTATGTGAACTACTTTAAATAGAAGTAAATCGACATATCATACCTTTTCACCAATTTCTTGGTCTGAAAGCTGAAGGAACTCATCAACAGCCCATGCAGAATGCATGAATGATGGTGTGCTCTGTTGTGTTGCAGGAACTTTTGTTGCAATCAAGGCCGGTCCATGGCGTGGTGGTTCGGTGTTGTCCTTTAGGTCCTTGTTGCACATCTTACTTACGGCCACACGGATTCCAGTAGCTAAATAACGCTGGTGGTTGCCGGAAAGGGTACCAGCGACATGAACAGGTTCATCACAGTCCCGGCAAAACAGGGCTCTGTCCTCGACGCAGAAGATGAAAGCTGCTTTCTCCTAGCAAAGATATTGAAAGAGAAAGAAGAAAGGATGTGGAGCATCACATACTCTACATGTTGATGTTCTTGGAATGTTGGCAAAGAGAAGCATACCACTCGTTTCTTCCACTTATCTAGGAAATTGTCTGAAAGTGAAGTGCACAAAATGCATATTTACTTGGACATAAGTAGACATTTCTCATGAATAGCTCATGAGGATATTATATCTTTAGGTCATTGTATTCTGTGTGACTTTGTCATCTATATGTCCCTTGAATTAAATGAACTAAAGTCCTGTGTTGATTGACTTCTCAAGCCTCCTAACCTTAGGGAGAATGGTTTTCATCAATTAAGTTTCTGATTCAAATTCAAACAAAGGATTGTTTTTCTCTAACTAATTGATTGTAGAATCAATCATGCAATTTCCTAAAGTGCAAATTCTTATATCACAAGGTTACTGCATGGAAGAGATCTGTATGTGGTTTCATAGTCCAAGAAGGAGAATATAGCAGGAGATGCATGCGTTTCTACCTGTTGTTTTACATGAAAAGAAAGACTCATAATGATGTGGAAGCACAAGCAAGGCATTAAAATTGAGAGTCTACCATCTATATGAGAGGAAGCAGTGCATGAGAGAGAGAGAGAGATTACTTGGCAGATGTCACAGCGAGGGAGGCCGTTGGGGAGGCACTCGAGGCGAAGCCTCTGATGCTTGCTGGCGAGCTTGTTGGCTGCGTGGACCTCGACGTCGCAGCTCGGGCAAAGAGCGGCCTCGTCGGCGCAGCATATCACCGCCGCCGGTGCCTTCTCGCACACATCGCACTGGATCTTCATCTCTCTCTCTTTTGTCTTCTTCCTCCTCCACCTGCGCAGGCTTCAAGTTGTCCTACGCAACAGCATGACATCAAAACCGGAGAGTCCTAAGAGATCTGCTCCTCGGCGAGGCTCGGCGAGGACATACCTTCGTCAAAAGACCAACAAAATGGAAGAAGGTAGAGGAAGCCCAATGACAGTGAGGCGTTCAAATGGAGAGATGAAGGACCAGTCCTACCGGTGATGCATTGCTTGGTTTAAGATTGGCCAAGTGACGGCTGTGGGTGGTTTGGGGAACTTGTGGTTTCTCTTTCTTTGCCACACTTAAATAGTGTTTGGCCTATGGACAGACACCTCATCTCTTGTCCAAGTCCGGCAGCCAACCTGCACTGCCAATCACAAGATTCTTCTTGACAAGGATTGGAGGGAGATCTTACCACCTGGGGTGTGGAGAGACTGTAGTGATATCTAGGGTTCTAGATTGTGGTCACTGGATTGGAGATCCATATAAATCTTTCTTAGTTGCAGAGATCTTTTGGAATGATTGCATAATGATTTCAAGGAAGCAGCAATATGTGGTGCTCATATAGTTGATAATTCAAAGCAGAGGATCAATTGCAAGCTACACGATCACATGTTTGGCATAGATATTTCAATCCAAACACAGTTGTCAGCACTCCAAATGATGGATTATGGCAGTTCAACTGGGCAAGCCTTCTGATGCAAACTCCACATAGTTTGCTGGTAATCATGCAATGGATTGTTCAACTTGTTCTCCACAAATTTTTTGGATTCTGGCCCAGCCATTGTTGTGTCATGATTGGGGGAACTCGAGTGATGATCTATCAATGGATTCAAGCAGTTCAAGAAACTTCCTCAGCAGCTTAGGATAGCTGTTCTTGTGGCCCTTGTTCCTCAGCAGCCTACTCATCTTCCTCAGCAGTTCAAGACTTCATGATTGGTTTTGTTATGTGGTGCTCAATACCAAGGTCACTGAACAAGCCTTTCTTGCCACGCCTGCAAGGAAGAAGTGGCCATCTCTGTCATCTTCAAGAATCCACAGTGACATGGAGCTTCTGAGCTCTGTGAACAGGCCACACCAAAGTCCAGCCAAAATGTATTGAATGCTTGGATATGAACTAGGAATAATATCTTCCATTTGGGTGGCCTAAATTTGTGTCTACTTGTGCATGCAACAGGGATTGATTGATTGCTCTGCACTTGATTACACTTGCAGAAGTGCAACTCAATTTCTTTCCTAGCACTCAATCATGTCTCCCTAAATAGAATAGCATCACTGCAACTGCTGTTCCATGTAAGATCAAACTGACATGTAGTAAAATCTGCATTTGTTTCCTCTATGATTGGTTCTATTGCACTGGAAGTGTGCTTTGGCAGTTCTGACTTCATCATCTCCTCCCTTTTTCTCCATGACACAAAAGTGATGACCTTCACAGACTGGATCGAAGCAGGAAGCAGCATTGACCGCATCTCTTACTCCTAACCCAAATATTCTTAGGAGTTGTGACCAAACAAGCCTTGATTCCTGTGAACGCAGAGACAAGTATGCGATTGCAGAAGTGAAGGAAGAGCTTGATGACAATACCAAGACAAACAAGATGAGAAGTAAGTTAAAAATCTCATAGTTTTGGTATCTTATCTGCAAATTGGACTGGTAAGATGCATAATCTTTTGACCGATTCAATCGTGCATCTCTGTCACAACAATGTTCTTAGACTTGTTGACACCGCAAAGTTCGGTGCAGGAATCAATCAATGAGCATGTCATGAAGTCTTTAGTCAAAGTTACTCTTCTGAAAGATTCAACACGGCAACTACCTGTGTCGGTTCATGTCCTTTCCTTGGAATGCATAGTAATTTAGAATGCAGATTTTATGCAGAATAAATAACAAATAAGTGGATCTGATATATCATCATCATCATGTATAAAAATTTATTAGATAAAGTTTTAGACTAATATCTTAGGTGTAATTTCAAATCGTCAATTTGGATTTGGATCGTATAATTAGACAAATATTCTAATTATCAAAAAAATATATATAGGATGAGATTGGAACCATTAACTCTTGTAAGTGCATATGCTATATCACAAACATTTTTTAATTAAATCATTACTAAACCAATATTTTAGAAGATTATTATTTAAAGCCTCATTCTTACTATTCATATTTTTTTAAAATTTTAATAAAATAATATATTACTATTTATAGTCTCTTTTCTTCTCTTTTTCTTTTGTTTCCTTCCTCACAACTCCCGCTTGCACAATCTATTATAGTAGGCTCTCCCTAAAGCGAGTGCTCTAGTGGACAGTTTATAAAGATTTAAAATATAATATTTTTTTGGATTAGTATAACTGACTTAAAAGATAGTATCTTCTAGATTATTACATAATATATATAGCCCTAGCAAATATCAAAAACTATCTCTCATTTCATCATCTATCTTTTTTTTTTTTTGTCTTTTTATATCATCTTCAAAGATTAAGAGGAGAAGAAGAAGAAGAAGAAAAAAAAAGAGGTTATAGATAATGAGTGAAAAAATTTTATTAGAATTAAGTTATAAATTAAGGGCATATATATCTATTTTCAAAAGAATAATTTAGAAATATTTAAAGAACTTAACATTTGGGTTGTAAATAATAAAAAAATTACAAATAGTAATTTTTATATTTTAATATTATTTTTGTTATCTCAATCCTTTGTTTTTTTTTGGGGTGAATTTTTAGAAAAAAATCTCTATCTTTGCTAATTTTTTGTAGAGCGTTCCAACTTTCAAAAATTATCATAGAGCATTCTTTTTTCATAAATGATCATTTTTCCACCTTATGCATTGCCTCCTCTCTCCACCTTATGCATTACCTCCCCTCTCATTTGTCCTATCGAAGCTATTGTCACCTTTGCCCCTGGCTCTCACTAAACTCATCGCCTTCGCCCCTATGCAGCGGGCGACAATAGCAACTCCACTAAACCATCTCTTATGCATAAGGGCTGCGAACAAGGACAATGAGATATGCTATAGTTATCGTATCCCTTCTTCACGTAATGACAATAAAGGCCCCCTCCTTCCCCAAGTGAGGGTAAAACAAGTTTGATGTGAGTCGTAGAGACGATAACAAGTCTAGCATGACAAAGAAGAGGGGAGGTGACGACGATCCAGCGGAAGTAGGAGAAAATTAGTCTTTTTACACAATAATATGCTATATAATTTTTTAAAAAAATTAGGATGCTATGCTTGTAAATTAGTTTTTTTTTTCCCGAAAATTCAACCTTATTTTTATTTAAATTTATTTTACAATACTTAGAATGACTTTAGACCCCCAAAAAAAAAAACGAAATAAATTAGTTTTAATAAAATTCATTTCCATTATAACATATGCACCTAACGTTCACGTATCCAGTCCTCTCCTTATTTCTTCCAACCTCAGATCGTAACAAAATGATGCTTCTGCTACGCCTCCGTTTAGCCGGGATCATCATCGCCACCACCCAAAACTGCGGTTGCTCCCCCGACCTTTGCTGCAGCAGCTGGGGCTACTGCGGCACCGGCAACGACTACTGCGGCGCCGGGTGCCACTCCGGGCCGTGCGAGGCTTCTCCTCGCCCCGACGACGTCCCCGTCGCCCGTATCGTGACGCAGAGCTTCTTCGACGGGATCATCAGCCAGGCCGACAGAGGATGCGCTGGCAAGAGTTTCTACAAGCGCGACGCCTTCTTGACCGCGGCCAGCTCCTACACGAGTTTCGGCCACGTCGGGACGACCGACGACTCCAAGCGGGAGATTGCCGCCTTCTTCGCGCACATCACGCACGAAACCGGGCGTAAGTTCTTGACCTGCCCAGCTTCCTCATGGAAACATCATCCTCTCTGTTGGACATAAAAGCAAACTCGTTGTCTGCAGAAGAATCCTGGTTTGACTAGCGGGTTTCTGACAGATACATACCTTGCAATTACACGTAGATTTCTGCTACATAGAAGAGATCGACGGCGCATCGAGGGACTATTGCGATGAGGCCAACACCGAGTACCCATGTGTCTCGGGGAAGAGCTATTACGGCCGCGGCCCCATTCAGCTGTCATGGAACTATAACTACGGCGCTGCCGGCGAAAGCATCGGGTTCGACGGACTCAGATCACCGGAAACCGTGGCCATCGATGTCGTCGTCTCCTTCAAGACTGCATTATGGTTTTGGATGAACACCTGCCACTCGCTCATAACTTCCGGCCAGGGTTTTGGAGCCACTATTAGAGCAATCAATGGCGATTTGGAGTGCGATGGCAAGAACCCGGCGACGGCGAATGCTCGTGTTGGATACTACAAGGACTACTGTAGCCAGCTTGGCGTCGACGCCGGCAGTGACCTCACTTGCTGACTGCTTCTCTGGTGCATCTACACAACACACACACAACGAGCACAAGTAATCTTGGGAGCAATCGACACTGTGGTACTTGAACTTATCCTCAGCCTTCTCCATTCTCATTAACTAATGACGCATCTTCTACTAGTAGAGTTGAAGTGTTGTGTAACATCTCCTGTTTAGTTCTACGTTGAAAGAAAAAGAATTAAATTAATCTAAACGAACTTTATGTGTGCATTATTGTTAATTTTGAGTGTAATTTATATTTGAGTGTTTTGTGTCAATTGAGTGTTTAGACTTCACAATTCAATGAGTCAATTGGATATTGTGTTACTGTTTTATAAATGCTTGATGGGTATACTGATGTTAATCTATGTTTAGATATTTTGGATCAATAGTTCTAGTTCCATAAATTAATAGGTCAATTATCTCATCGAGTCTAATGGTGAGTGTTGTTCTTGGATTTGACACCCAGTGAAGAAGGTTTCGCTTATTTTATCCTGTAATTTTGTTGGAATATTTCTCTCTTAAGCATGTATCAGTCATATAATCGACTATGTTATTTATATACTTTTGATTTGGTGGATTGATAATTGATATTCACTTGAGGATTGATTTATTTTATGGTTACTGAAAATAAAAGCGTGGTTGAAACCGAGCTAATGCTTAAGTCCAGATTGATGATAGTGTACCTATTTAGTTCTATTTTATGCATCAGAATCACTGATAAAAAAAATTTCTTGTGTATTTTTAATCTTTTAACAGTATCATTCCATCTAAAAGTTGAAGACTTTAGATAAGACATGATTTATAATACTTCGCCTCTTATATGGGTAGTAGATGACTCAGCTGGACACATGAAACTTGAATTAATTGGATGCGTATAATTTCTTATAAGCATGATCTAACTAAGTTTTGAATAAAAAATTAATATGACATTGTTTATAGTCTTGTATTCTTAACATTTACACTACCCCTTTGATTGCTAATGATGATTCACTTGTTCCCAGCATGGTATAAATGGATATCTCCATACTCTGCTTCTGAGATATTTGGTGAGATGTTTTGGACCATCTAACCATGTAAGTCTCTGACCTCTTTGAATATTATACAAATGAATTGGCAATGACTAAAATAGTTTAGAATATTCACTGGAGATATCGCAAGAAAAGATTAATCCATACATAACACAGGTCTTAGAGGAATGATACTTTGTAAAGTCAAGGTTGTCCTTTGAATTAAGTAGTTTGTGGTTTGGAGTATAAATTGATTAGAGAAGGGTCCATTTACATTTTCTTTTCTTCATCATCAGCCAAAGGAAAATTGCGATATGTTTCTTCTTCGATCTTTTTTGTCTTTTACTCTTTAATTTTTCCAGTATCGGTTTTGGATCTTCGTCTTTATCCTCCACATCCATCCATGTACACAACCCTGATTTACCAAAGCATTCTCCAAACAATATTAATAACATGTTAGGATCCTATGAAAAATAGCTCTAGGCAATTGCAAGTGTTCTTCTTCGGCAAAATCTATCATCCATAAGATTCTGAAACAACAAATGTATCAGACGATGTGAGAGCCAACTCTTCTAAAATGGCTCATGGATTTCACCCAAGTTCCTCAACCTGGTTTGAATTTGTCTAGGAAATCCTATTAAAAAAAATTTTTATCTGTAGCATGTGAATCATCAACCTGTTTGAGTGGTTTGAGATTAGTAACACAAGACTTGACTGTTGCAGTAACCCAAGCATGGAAAACTTGATTTTAGGACTGCAATAGTAGTCATTTACCTTCTGAAAGGCATTCACTACTACACTTGATTCTTCAGTGAAATGCTTTGGGAAGGCATACCACCAAAACTGAGACTTACATCTTTTTCTTTTTTTTGAGGATTTTTATTTGTTAATTGGTGCTTTCATGTCAAAGCTTCCTACAAAAGCAGATCACGACTGCAAAAGCCAAATCACAACAATAGAGGGATGGGAGTCCTGTGTTCCAGTGATCACATATCGGAACTTACCTACTTCAATGTTTGCAGCAAGCTTCAGTCAGTGGTGCTTATTTGAGAAGAGTCCTGTTTGGGGATGATACTACTGATTTCACTCTTTTTGCATGAACTGAGGCATGAATGGCTCCTTCCCTAAGAACTAGAAGTCTTTCTGCAATCTTAACCATGACAATACAGCTCCAGTTGATGAAGTATTTTACTGTTTCTTTCGTTTTACATGAACCAAGGAAAGAACTAGTGTTATAGTGCAACTCCAGTTCGAGAAACATTTCACCAATTTCTTTCTTTTTGCATGAGCAGAGAGATGAATGATTCAACACCTAAACTAGTTTGAGTTGTTGCTAAAATCTTAGCTATTGCAATGACAGCTCCAGCAAGGGAAATATTCTACTGGTTTCTTTTATTTTGGATGAACTAAGAGATAAATGACTCCTTGATTCTCTAAGTACTAAAGAGTTCTTGTCAAAACCTTAGCTGCTATAATGCAATTCCAATAGGGGAAATATTCTACCACTGGTTTCTCTCTTCTTGCATCAACCAAGGGAGTTCATGCTAACCGAGGATGAAGACTAGGCTGTCCTGAGGTGGATGTCTTGTTGAAGAGATTTCACCATGCAATATTAATTTTTCTGAATTATTCCCACTAAATCTGGACCACAATAATCTGGTCGAGAGCACACTAATCACTTCTTTTACCAGGAAGAAGGGTGTTCATGTTAGCTGAGAAGATCACAGGCATGAATTCCTCGCCCTCTTCCTGAGGTCAACCATTTTGCGTCTCAAGTGCAATGATGCGACTGCAGAAATGGAGAAGAAACCCAAAAACTAGCAGAAAACTACAAAAGCACTAAAGGATTCATCATAAACATGGCAACGACATCGACAAAGAGATCAACCTAATTCTAAGGTTTCCAGGCACAAGCCCACACGGCCGGTTCCTGCTTCCATGTCAGGTAGAGACCTGAGGCGTCTCCTTCTGCCGGCACGAGCGACCACCCTGCGCGATACCGCCTCAACAATGCGTTCAGATCATCGACGACGTCGTCGCTGAAGGTGCTCGGCGAGAAGGATTCCATCAGTCGTTCGCACCACTGTCTCCCTTTCTCCCTTCTCTCGCAGTCTCCGCTATCATGGCCATCGCAAGCCAGAACACTCACGATGCTCTTAGAGCACTCCCTTTCCAGTGCCAGTCTCTCGTTGCTAGTGGGTGCAAAGCTCTCCTCCAGCATCTCGAAGTACATGGTGTAGAACCTCAAGCACTCCTCGAAGCAGCTCACGAACTCACCCTTGCAGCTCGTGAAGTCGGCCTCCTCCTCCACCACCGTGACCACCCGCGGCCGTAACCTGCTCAGCATGCCGACGAAGGCGTCTCTCTCTTCGACGCTGACGCGCCGCAAGGCCCCGACGCAGTTCACCGCCACCGCTTCGCCCTCCCGCAGCCCGAACTCCTCGTACTTGAGCTCATCCAGTCGCGTCAAATTACGTATCACATGGAACTGGAATGGCACCCCCATCAACCTCGCGAACTTCTCCATCCGCATCCCTATCTCGTCCATGACCGATCCGCCCATGCCCACCGTCGCAACGACGGTTAGCCTCAGGTGTGGCGTGTCGTCGTTCCGGGTGGCCAAGGCCTCCAGCAACGTCGGCCACTGAGTGCAGTAGGTGTTGCTGATATCGATTATATGGAGCTTCGCTTCTCCCTCGAACGCCTCCAAGATGGCGCCGTTGGATGCTACGTGACCGAACGTGGTCCAAGGGCTCGCCTCTTGAAACTTGAGGATGACCTTCCTCGTCGACTCGAAGGAGTGGCACCTTTCTGCCACCGCCAACGACGTCTTGTAGCAGTGCTCTCCCAGCTCAGTCGCTTTGCAGAAGAGAGCTTGCAGGAAATAAGATGCGACCTTCTGCTCGCAGTCTCCGTAGGGGGATGCGAGCTCATTCAGCATCCACAGCAGGTGATGCAGCTTGCCCGAATCGTTCTCCGAGATGGCCGTCGCACACTCGCGGAGGAGTTCCGCGGCCCATCGCTCGGTGGCGTTCGGATCGTCAAGCTCCAGTTCCAGGCAGCCAGCAAATATCTGATGGTAGTGCGGGTGTGGATTATGCATGTTATCTGTAGATAGCATCATCTTCTCTGGAGATCATACGACAAAGCTAGCTTCGGAGGCCGAGCCGGGAGATCCGGGTGCGGGCTTCATGTTCGGGACAAAAGAGAGGAGGAGGAAGGAGATGCCGGCGAAAGGTGAGTTCAACACATATCTTCATGCATCGAATCCTATTTAAATCGAGCGACTGCATGACGACGACGTCATAATTATTTCGAGAACGATCTCACAATATTTTCTCGAAATTAACTTTTATCCGTCATCCTCAGCAGGATGAGACTTTCCTGCAATTATCGAAGATGTGTAGACACAGGACACAGAGACAGAGCAGTACGAGAAGTGCGCTCGCTGAAGAAAATTACAACAACACATATTACCTCATCCTAACGATAATTGTGGAGCACACAGCTCATTCTCATCATCTTACCAGCATCTTGTTCGTGGCCTTTTGCGGGAAGCTGCGGCATATCCACTCTGAATCGAACAGCCATAACTTTGATATATATGGTAAAGCATCCCCCGAATCTTTTTTTCTCGGTTAAAGTTCTTATCGCCTTTTATGCGCACTAGAGAGGTAAAGAAGAAAGATGTATTCCAGAGAAGAGCTCAAAGCATGAATGTAACTTAGCGAGTTGAGTTCTTCGCCTTTTTAAAGCGAAAGCAGTACACGCTCCGTAGGTCCTAAAACCTCTCACAATAGAAACACACGGAACCAACCAAAAAAAGGCTTCCTTTATTCTCTTGTTATCTTCCTGAGGTATTGATTTCCATCCAAACTACGCTTTCAAGCAGATGAACACGAGACAAACGCATGCAAACAAACAAACAAGAGATTAAAATGAAGGATTAAAACGCTAGTCCATGGCATCCCAGCAAGTTTTTCACCCTCGATGAAGTTGCGGAAGGGGACGACGCCGAGACTATTGTTTCTCGCTAAACGGGAGATTAAAGGACTAGCAGAAAAGCCACAGGTCATATAGCGTGTCAACGATGTTTGTTTAGCCATCGAAACCAAGCCGGTCGCTTCTTCCTGAACGAGAGATTAAGAAAGGAAGGAGTAACTAAGAAGCAAAGCCACCATCGATGCATGAGGTCGCAGAAGAGGACAAGACCAAGACTCTCGCTTCCTCCTCACTCCTAACTTTGTGCTCCAAAAAGCCCATCTTGGGAGGGAAGAAAGGCGTTCGCCGCCCTTTTGAGATTGCATCTCCTTGGCCTATTGGATTGTAGCCCACACCATTCTCTGCAGCTTGTTGCACCATGGAAGCCTCTTTCCTTGCCGTGGCAGGAGCTCGCAACATGTCCCAAGAAAAAAAAAGGTGAGGAGGGCGAGGCTCAACTTTCCGGGTCATGCCACATAAGTCGAGTGCCTCTTCTTGCAAGCAAAAAGCTTGACACGGTTGATGCCATGGATGCTTTAGTTGGTCCGCGAGGTGATAGTGGCAACTGCAGCGTGAGTTTAATGAAAGCTTAACACACGAGATACCTACAGCACTTGGTGGGTCGTCGTAGTACTGAAAAGCTATGCGATCTCTGCAAAAGCGTTGCGTGATTTCCTTGCAGGCCCACTTTATTGAGTGATCGAACCTATCATCGGCTTCCCGATACACATGAAAAGTTCATCGACATGTGAACCTGTTTGGAAGGGGGGAGGGGGGGGGGAAGAGTTCGACACGTTCGCCGTGGGCTTAACGTGGAATATTATTACGCGGCAATACTGGTGGGCCCAGAAACTGTCCCTATCGGCCCACGACATGTTATCCCATCCTTTTGTCCGAGGCGTGCAGCATCCACGTCAGCTAAACCTTAATATTGAACAGCCCATTAAATAGCTATACAGAGGAGAATAAAAAAGAGAGACATGCATGAAAATAATATGATGAACCAAAAAAAAAAAAAGCAAAACAAAATAACTAAATTTTAGCGTTAATTATAGATTATATCTCTATAATTTCAAAAGTTATATCGAGATTCTTATGTTTACGAAAGTAAAATATTTAATCTCATTGTTCTAATAATTAATATTTTACTTTCATAACTATAGAGATTCTAATATAATTTTTAAAAATATAAAAATAACTAATTATATTGAATAATCTATAATTAATCCTAAATTTTATTAGACGAAAAAGAAACATACGAAGGAGGTTGAACTAACACCTTCGTCGATCGATCGATTTTTCCTTGGCAATTCTTCGGTACATCTTTATCCTACATTGGAAACTTCTTATGTGTCCGCATGAGATGCAAATTAGCGGTACAAATGATTCTTCCAGCTAAAAACTGGTGTTGAATCTTTCAGAGTCTCCATGTTGGAGGAGTTCTGCAATGAACAGAAGAATATCTGCAAATAAGCAATGGGCTCTTTTGCAGTCAGTGATCGCAAACGCGCAGAACATCGAGGGGAAAAAGGTCATCTCCTCACTTCCTTCTATATGTAAATGGCCATTCCGAGCCATTAAAAGAACAGGAAAGAAAAGAAAATTTATTTTGGGTGGACAATCCCCTTTGGGTCTCTGTCTCAGCCCCATCCTCCTTTATTCTGAAAGTGAAAGAAGCTCTCATGGAGAGGACAAATGTCTAGAAGAAGGAGAACATTTTACAGTGTAT